CCACGTTGGGGCGAAGAAAGCGACGCAGTTGAGCCCGCCTGGGGGTGTTACAGAACACCTGCCTTTTCCTATCTCTCACAGGAGCAGCGCAAAGCAGCCTGACTGGTCAACTTGTTCCCCTTCAGTTTTTCTGATTTTGCAAAAATAACCTTGAGAAACATCCCAACTCATCTAGGCCAAACTTGGTCAAATTATGCCATATCAGGAAAATACGTATGCCAATCAGTAAAAGACAAAAGACCATTCCAAGTTCAGTGACTAAAGTGAATTATTGGACAAGTTTAGATGAATTTTCGTTGTGGAATGCCCAAACTAATAAATGTATTCTAATAACTCTACATGTGTATAAAATTATAAGGTCAAAATAACAGGCTGTCTTGTTCTTTGGCTGCTAGTAGTTTCTCAATCTCTGACCAGAATCTCCATCATGGTCACAACAAAATACATCGGTTTTCATATTTAAATTGGTGATTCACCGACTTATGTTGTAGACCTTTCATGCAGCATAGCAATAGATAAAGAGTAGATCACACTTGCTATCTACTGGCGGGAAGTAGTTGACTTACTAGATATAGCCTGCTGAACACATTTTCTATAGTCTACAAATATTGCTGGCAAGAAGTGCTCCTTCAAGAAGTTGTTCACAAAAGCCAATAAGCCATCATTCCTGCACAAAGTTTAAGTGTAAAAATATATCAATGTCACCTAAGATTCTACTATTTCAAAAGTACTCTACAGCATAGATGATTGGGAAGGCTTTCGGTCCGCTAATATCATTTCCATGTGGCGAATGAAAAAACTTCTGTTTCAACAACAACAACAAAGCCTTTAGCCCCAAACAAGTTGGGGTAGGCTAGAGGTGAAACCCATAAGATCTCGCAACCAACTCATGGCTCTGGCACATGGATAGCAAGCTTCCACGCACCCCTGTCCATAGCTAGCTCTTTGGTAATACTCCAATCCTTCAGGTCTCTCTTAACGGACTCCTCCCATGTCAAATTCGGTCTACCCCGCCCTCTCTTGACATTCTCCGCACGCTTCAGCCGTCCACTATGCACTGGAGCTTCTGGAGGCCTGCGCTGAATATGCCCAAACCATCTCAGACGATGTTGGACAAGCTTCTCTTCAATTGGTGCTACCCCAACTCTATCTCGTATATCATCATTCCGGACTCGATCCTTCCTTGTGTGGCCACACATCCATCTCAACATACGCATCTCCGCCACACCTAACTGTTGAACATGTCGCCTTTTAGTCGGCCAACACTCAGCGCCATACAACATTGCGGGTCGAACCGCCGTCCTGTAGAACTTGCCTTTTAGCTTTTGTGGCACTCTCTTGTCACAGAGAATGCCAGAAGCTTGGCGCCACTTCATCCACCCGGCTTTGATTCGATGGTTCACATCTTCATCAATACCCCAATCCTCCTGCAGCATTGACCCCAAGTACCGAAAGGTGTCCTTCTGAGGTACCACCTGGCCATCAAGGCTAACCTCCTCCTCCTCACACCTAGTAGTACTGAAACCGCACATCATGTACTCGGTTTTAGTTCTACTAAGCCTAAACCCTTCCGATTCCAAGGTTTGTCTCCATAACTCTAACTTCCTATTTACCCCCGTCCGACTATCGTCAACTAGCACCACATCATCCGCAAAGAGCATACACCATGGGATATCTCCTTGGAGTAGATAAGAACAAGATAAAATGTGATGTGTGTGAGTTTGCAAAACACATGAGGGCGTCTTATGTGAGCAAGGGACTTAGAAGTATATCACCATCCATGCTTGTTCACTCGGATGTTTGGACAAGCCCGGTGGTGTCGGTCAGTGGTGCAAAGTACTTTGTGACCTTTATTGACTGCCACTCACGTACGACATGGATCTATTTGATGTGTCACAAGGATGAAACTTCCAATGCTTCAAACCTTTCTGTGCCTATGTGAAAAATCACTTCAATGTTCAGGTACAAGTGATAAGAAGTGATAATGGCACTGAGTATGTTAACACAGTGTTTGGGACCTTGTTATCAGAGCAAGGGATTTTGCATCAAACCTCATGTCCGAACACTCCTCAGAATGGGGTGGCACAAAGGAAGAATGGCCATATCCTGGAGGTCGGTCGATCACTGGTGTTTACTACGAATGTGCCGAAATTCTTGTGGAGTGAAGTTGTGATGGCTGCGACACACCTGATCAATCGCACATCATCAAGAGTACTAGGTATGAAGTCACGTTCTGAGTTACTTCTGGGAAAGAATGATTTTGTGGTTCCTCCCAAGCTGTTCGGTTATGTCTGCTTTGTCAGGGATCACAGGCTATTTGTGGGCAAATTGGATCCACATGCCGTCAAGTGTATCTTCATTGGGTACTCTTCTGGGCAGCGCGGCTACAAGTATTGGAGTCCTGAACGGAGGACCTTTGTGAGCATGGATTATTTGTGAACAGGGAATCCAAACCATTTTATGGTGAGAAAACCGATCTTAACGGATTATTTGGAAGTCTTGACCATACCCCAATCTACTATTATAGGTCAAGAGGGGGAGAGTGGTGGTGGTGCTGATTTTGTGCTGCAACAACCAATTGAGGGTGATATTCATGTACAGAGAAGGGAGCAGCAGCCCCAGAAAATGATAACACCATCGAGTGAAGGACCGATTGTGACTAATGGGATGCCGAGTCAGGCAGGCAGTGCTCCCACCCAGATCGGTTGTGTACCGAGGTGGACGGCAAAGCCAGAGGAGCAGCTAAAGGTGTATTCACTGAAGCAAGGTGATGCTTCTCATAGGTGTCAAAAGGTGAATGAGGTCAAGATGACAACATCATGTTCAGGGTGAGTAGCAATGCAGGCTCATCTGATACAAAGGACTTGCCAATTGCTTTGAGAAAAGGTACCCGAGCAAAAGCAGGGATACGAGAGCCAAAGTATGGGTTCGATGCCAATGGTATTGGAAATTATGTTTCCTAGGAAGCATTATCTCCAGCCCACAAAAAAATTGTTGCTTATCTTCAGCTGGTGTTCTCTTCCAACTAATTGGAAGGCAGCAAAAGTGGATCCAAAGTGGAGAGCAACTATCATAGAGGAGCTAGAGGCATTAAGTAAGAACAAGACATGGACACTAACACCTCTTCCAACAGGAAAGAAGGCAGTCAGCTGCAAGTGGGTATACACTGTGAAGCAGAATGCGGAAGGGAAGATTAAAAGATACAAGGCAAGGCTTGTGGCGAGGGGGTACAGCCAGACCTACGGCATTGACTATGATGAGACCATTGCTCCGGTAGCAAAGATGCTGTGAGAATCCTGATCTCCTGTGCAGCAAATTTCGGGTGGTCCTTACATCAACTTGATGTGAAGAATGCTCCCTTACATGGGGACCTATAGGAAGAGGTCTACATGGAGATCCCACCGGGGTTCTCTACGTCTGAGACTGCTGGCAAGGTATGTAGGTTAAAGAAAACTCTTTATGGTCTGAAACTGTCTCCGAGACAAGTTCAGACATGTTGTATGTAATATGGGGTATGGGCAGCGTAACGGTTCATACACTGTTAAATAGCAAGACTGAAAGAGTGTTTGGGTAAGGCCTTTGAAGTCGAAGATCTGGGCCAGACTCAAATACTCGGGCATAGAAGTGGCCAGGTCTGCCAAGGGGATTGCGCTATCACAGAGGAAGTGTACTTTAGATCTCCTAAGCGATGTCGGGATGCTAGGATGTCGGGCAGCATCAACTCCAATTGATCAAAACCACAAAGTGACAAGCTCAGTCAGGAGAGCCAGTGAAT